ACAACTCGGCAGTTCTTCTCACAGGGGTGGGTGAGGGTTGCTGCAGATACTTTTAATGAGATGCTGTTCAACCTGCTCTGGAGTGATGGGTACTCAGAAGGTAGGGGTGGTCCTCTGCTGTTGTCCAACACACTTGCCCTCTGGGATGGGTTTTGGGAGCCCCTGAACACTGAGCCCAGGGAGGGAATCTGAGGATGAGGGAGATGATGCTTAAGGAGCCAAACTCTTTCTGGATTCTCAATATCTCAGCTAGGGGTTGGCCCTGGCACCTTTTAATTTTATTTTGTTTTTTTCAAAAAATAGACCATTTGCCCAGAATTCGTAAATTTCTCTGAAGATGGAAGTACAAAAATATGGTTTCTCTAGTCTGGAAAAATAATACCCACCAATGTGCTCACATTTCTGTTGTTATTGTTGCCAGATGTTGTACCTTGAATCAAGTTACTGAAAACCATGAAATGAAAATATTCTTACATGTCTTGGGACCTTCGGGGATTCCTGAGTTCAGGGACCATGCTTTCACTAACTGCTTTATCTAAGTCATGTGAAGAGCCAGCCGGGAGCCAGCTGCCTGTGGGCAACACTCATAGCCATTGTCACAGCTTCCCACCTCCCTAGAGCTCACAGAGCACAGTCTCACTGGTGTCTGATGACATCCTGGAAGCAGGCAGAGCTCACATTCGTGCCATCCCATTGTGAAGAGGGGAAATTGAGAGTGGAAGGTAAAGTGACTCATCTAGGATCAAAGCAAAGGCTTCAATTCTGTTCTTCTGCATCCAGATTAACTCTATAATCTCTGACTGGGGTCTTCCTACAGGCCAAGCACTGTGGATATTGACCCTACACCCCTAGAAAGGAGAAGTAGGCAAGGACAAGGCTCCTTGGCCCTCTTGTTGGTGTTTTTGCCAGAGCTGCCTTCCATTTCCAATTCGTTTGTGTTTTAGTTTTGCAAAGAAGGGAGCAGAGCTTCCTACCAAACACTTTACTGAGTGGAGATAAAAGGTTTCATGGGCACCAGAAACTCTGTGCAAATGAGAATGTGAAAAGAATCTCGTGAGGTCTTTAGAATGGTGGTGGGCTGGCCAGCTTCCAAGATGTCACCGATGTGCACTCAAGAACATCAGGGTATAAGCCGACGAGCAGAGCTACACAAGGATGTCCCTCGAAGGGTAGCTCTGAAGCTTCACTATGTGATGGGTGCTACTATGTCCCTTCTGAACAGAGGGGTAAAGGAGGGACCAACACATAGGACACAGCAGTCATGAAGGGCCAGGCAGAAGACATGGTGAGACCATGAGGAGGCCTTTTGTGAGGTCACCAGCATGAGGCAATGTAAGAACAGTTAACCCTAGGGTAGAGGACAATGCCTGAAAGGTTCCAGAAGGCAGCCTGGACCACTCCTCTTTTGAGGGAACCAAGAAACAGGAGCCTACAGAATGGAAGAAGTGGATTCACAGTCTCATGGTGAGGCGTATCCTGCCATGAGCAGAGCAAGTTTCTTTCCAGGTCTGAGCCTCGGTTTCCCCTCTGGCATGAGATGGTAATCAGGAACTTGACCAGCTTGGCTGGGCCATTCCATAAGTCAGTGACTTCCCTTCCTGGTAAGCAGGGCACTATGAAGCCTTTTGAGCTTGAAAAACTAATTGCTGTACTGATGCACACATGCCCCTTGTATTGCATTTTTTTTAAGAGTAGGAAAATTTATTGGAGAAAAGGAATGAGGAATGGTAATGAGGGGATGGGGAACAGGAATAGCTCCTGAGAGACTGGAGGTGCTCTGAGTGGGTTGGCAACCAGCCCACTTCTCAAAGAAAGTTTTACCGAGCAAAATCATGAAAAGGGTACCATGTGGGTCAAAATTATGATCAACCAATATGATTCATTTTTCCAATAAGATCGCAAGTATAGTCACTTAGGTAATATTCATCTTATGGTAACAAGGGTACGTGGTGACATCATTAACCTTGCTTGATAATCTGTAGTCTTAGTCTTTGTTCTTAGTCTTAGTGGTTTTGGTCTTAGTCTTGGTGGGAGAGGACACCCCCACTCCTAATGAGACAATGGGAAATCTCAAAGAGTGACAGTGATAATCCCAAACTTCATTCATCCCTTAGGGAAAATGTGAAACTATCTACTAGGACTCTAATCTTCAGATACATCTCTAGCCACAGTCCTGATGGATTTTTACCTTTTGTACTGACCCCCTCGAGGGCCCAGCCCTGCCTGCCTACTATATTTCTACCTAATTTAACTGCCTATAATACTGCTAGTTGGCTATAGCTCTGTCCCCTGTGACTGCTGGCTACAGCTCTGTCACCTGTGACTGCTGTCACCTATAAAGGGGTCATTACCCTTCCCTGAAGAAAGAGCTGTTACCGTTCACCTGTGAATTCCCTTGACATAGTGTATGTTATAGAGATGACATAGGACCTCCACATAATCCAAATACCATAAGTAAAGAAAGCATAACTCGCGAGCAGCCAAAAGTCCGATACACTGAGTTGGTATTTTCTAAAACTGAATTTTAGGAACAACAGAGGTTAAGAGTAGGAAGAATCTGAGAGAAAGAAAGCTCTTGTCTAAGAGGGACAGAAGCGGGTGTTGAGTGGGTGGTCCTGCCACCTGCATTTCTGTGGCTCATTTCAGTCCCCAGACAACGTGTGATCCCTCTGCCAGGTCAACAGGACTGTTTTATACACAGGAAACAGGAATATCTGCAGCCTCCTCCCCCACCCCTCACCCATGACCATCAACAAAAGCCAGACACAAATGTAGAGGCATGGGGAGCACGTGCAGGTGTGGGTGTGCATGTGGGTGTGCACGTGAGCATGAGGTGCTTCATTTCCGCTGAGGGATAAATGAAGGCAAGGTCCAGGCCCAGCGTGCCACTAGCCTGTCATGTGTGCCTGGGGAACACCGCCCTTCTCTGAGCCTTAGTCATCCTGTTTATGCCCATGTAGAGGTGCGACAAGGTCATCTCTAAAGCCCAGCTCTACCTGACATGCTACCTAGCATGAAGACTAGGAAGCAGCTACCAAGCAACAGCAGATGGCAAACAAAATGATTCCTAGGTGTCTTGGTTGAAAGTTGTATTTTTGTATGCCAAGTTACAATACAGGCTTTTTTTTTTTTTTTTTCCCTGCAGAAACGGGGATTGAACTCAGGCCCTTGCACTTGCCAGGGAAGCGCTTATTGCACTGAACCATCTCCCCAGCCGCCCTAGGTGTCAATAACCAGGAAAACCAGGCTTTTCCACAGAAAAGGGTCAGAATTTTGAGAAGATATTTATCATAATTGCTATTGATAGATGAGCAAAAAATTAATATACACATGAATACATATGACCTCATATAGTACTTTGCATGTCCCAAGAAGGAAGGTAGGATCATATCCTTATTTTATAGATGAAGACAATTAAGGTTTAGAGAGACACAGGCATTTGCCTGATAGTCACCAGTGCACATAGGACTTGAGCTGAGGTGGGTTGGGCCTTCTGTGTGTGACTTTGCCTTTCTTATAAATCTGCAGATCTACCTAGAACCACAGTCACCAGAGTTGGTGCCTATACCTAATGTATGAAAATGGAAAGGGCAACAAAATCGGCACACCCTGCTGACTGTGACCAAACAGCTCATATTTTACAACATCCTTTCCCAGAATGATATAATTTGAGAACTGGAAATGTGACAAGAAAATTTAGTTATAATCACTCAAAAAAAGCCCGTGTCTTTGCCAGGATGCCTACTTTGTTCAACCAATAAAGAAATAAGACTTAACAAATGGGAAAATAATTACATTTGCTAAAAATGACATCTTCTGTGCATGCCACTGAGCTGACATGTGTTTCAATTACCTGCCACAGGAAGATGAATGGGTAAATCTACAAGATTACATTACAAAGTGATACTGCCGAAGAAACCTCTCCATTGATCAGAAGCCTGGTGGGATTTGTCTGAATGAATCTGAAGAACTTGCTTTAATCTGTTGCTTTCTCTGGGATAATTCTAAGATCTGCTTAAAGTGAGTGAACACAGCAGGCACTGTTTTTGTTTTGGGATTCTAGAAAATCTAGATGTTGAAAAATACCACACTGATGAGTGTGGTTCTGCTCCTCATGAATGCTCTGGGGATTCTGCCAAGTCACCTCTGCTCTCTAAGCCTTGGGTCCTTGTCATAAAAAAATCTTGGTCCAGGTGATTGCTGAGGCCTGTATAGCAGCAGCAGGAAAGCCCAACGAACAAACTGGTTCCCTTAGAAGATAAGTGGTCTATAAAAAGTGTAGGGAATTAAAATAGAAAAGAGGCTAAAGACACACCAAGCTGATGTAATAGTTGGACTATTATATCTGCTAATAAACTATTGGTTTTGAAGGGAGCGTTTGAGCAGAGGATCAACACAGACAAAGATATTAAGAACTGTTAAATGTTTTAGGTATGATAATAGTATGATGGTTGTGCTTTAAATAGTCCTTGTCTTGCAGAAATGCATACTGAAGTATTTATAGATCGAAATGAGATAATGTCCAAGGATTGCTTTAAAATATGACAGGAGAAACCGGGAGAAGGGTATGTGAGTGAGTAAAGATAAACCAAGATAGGGAAAAAGTAGCTCAAGATTTTACTGGGTGATGCAGACATGGGTGCATTATGCTAGTTCAGCAGAGTCTGTAGGAACATTTCTGTAACCAAAACCCAAAACATTGCAGAGTTTCTCAGCATTCTGCAAGTGACTTAACTGCATTCCCCTCCTCTCCCTTCTCTAAGCTTCTCAGAGTCAGGTGGGGAGGGGGCGGAGGCCTGCCAAGCAACACAGTTGAGAAACAATATTTACATAAGTTGAAACTAATGTTTTCATACAGAAGGGCTTTCTATTAAATCTTCCTACTTTTATCTGGGATCTCATATCCTACCCCATTTCTTTTGATCTATTTTGCTGCAGAAACACAACATTCCTGAATAGAAATGTTGTCAACTAGAAAGAATAAGCATCAAAAAGCCTACCTTGAAATTGAGTAAATTTAATGGTCCCCATTCTCTCCCCGTTCCGGAACACAACTTGACCCTAAAAATAAAACAAACAAACAAGAACAAAAGAGAAATGCCACATTAGCCCAAATACTACTGAGCTTGCTGAATTGCATTAGTTGCATGATGCGATTATTAATACTGGAGAAAAATAGACTCCCATTGGACTACAGACGCAAAATCAAACTAATTATTTTTAAATTAGTTGTGATTTTTATCTGGTTAATTTGTGAGGAGCACAAAATCAATAATGGAATGACCACATGTGAATTAAAGCCAAGATAAACATCTTCATTATCACTGGGACTATTTGTTGAACACCCATATGTTCTGTTATCAAGGGGACAAGGTCTTCTAGGGAAGATTGAGGTAGACCAAGGTCCTGGGAAATTGTCCCTGTACCCACTTACAAAGCTACAGGGCTGTTGGCATGCTGGAGGTTAATATTTTTTAGTAAAGCCAGAGAATGCCTTCCTAAGTTCCTTCCTGAAAGGTGACATCAGCCCCAATTACAACTGGGCTATACAGTATAGCACAAAATTAAGCTACTTGAGCCAGCGAGACCTGACTACTGTCAGAGCGGCTGACCGCCCCTCATTAGGGACCTTGGGAGCTAAAGATGGCATCATCTTTTGCATCTGTCACACTTGGCTAAATATACCAGGAATTTAAAGAGGAATATACCATCTCTTTTTGTCAATTTGTAGTCCACTTAAAATTCTGCAGCCATGCAAGGAAACTGGCATGCGTTACATCACTGCATCTTAATGACTGGCTTAGCTGGTAAGGGATGAATCCTGCCTTATAGATCAAGAAACTGAGGCAGAGAAAGGTTGTGCATTTTTTTATGAGGTCATTGTAAGTGAAGCTGGGATTCATAGCCAAGTTTTTTTTTTTTTTTGTGTGTGTGTGTGCTGGGATTGAACACAGGGCCTTGTGCATGCAAGGCAAGGACTCTTAGGCACTTGCTACCTCCCCAGCGCTCACCCCCCACCACTGCACCTTGATGCTCATACCATTTTACTATAGCATGCAACTCTGATCCAGAAATAAATCCTTCCTGCATTCCTATTATGGTGAAATTAGGAAGAGAGATAATTGTGCAGGTCCTCTTCTCTTTTCTCATAGCAATGCACTTGCATGATCAGGCAACAGCAGAGGAAATACTTGGGTCCCTCTTAGTTCTTGGGAGAAAGCCCCGGGATGTCTCATCTTCCCTTAGGTGGTAAACCAAGGTGTGAGGCGCTGGGGCTTTCAGAATAAAGGGGATCACTCAACCTGTTCTCAGCCTGAGAAACACCTTCCAAGGCCACTTTGACACCTTTGTGAAGTCCTGAAGACAGCTGCAAGTAGTATCGGTTGGAAACTAACACCCACTGAATTCTATATTCAGGTGATGGTAAGCAATTCCCAGGGGTGTGAAAACACTTAAACTCAAGGTGCGACTGAAGCTGTGATTTTATTTCTAGGGATGATTGAAAACCACAGAACACCTTACAAATCGAACACTTTTATGCAAATACACCACTTTACTTGGATGGGGCAGGTGCAAATATTATCCAAAGGAGAAAAAAAAAATGTTTTTGATTGATTGACAAAGGTGGAGATCTAACTAATTCACCAATCTCTTGCCATATTTTGAAGAATTCCAAGCATTCCAGGTTTAGATACGGGCAATTCTGCAGTCTTTATTGGTTAAAGAATGTGTGGAATGTGTCTTAGCTCTACTGGAGAGACACTGAAGTGGAGCAAAGCAGGTGTGAGAAAGCCTCTCCTTTTGTTTCTCTTGCTTTTCCCTTTCATTTTTAAACAAAAATAGTCCATTTTAAAGTGAGTCCTGTCATATTTTATTTTAGCTATATTTTATTTTGCCAGCGATAACTATTTTTACTAACGTTACCTCCTACCACCTCTGTGATTTCACAGGTACTACAGTGAAAGGAGGCCAGTGTCTGAGTTCTCCACCCCACTGAGTTCCTGGTCATCTCTGAATTACAGGCCTAGTACAGCTCCTGGTTATAAGGCAGGCACTCAGTAAATAGTAGCAATTATTTTTATTTAAATATTTTTAATAACGGAGAGAGGAAATGAAAAAATCTGAAGCGCGGGGGAGGTTTCTGTTCTTAGGGAAGGGATTTTCAACTTCAGCGTACCCTCAACTGGCAAAGGGGCCAACTAGTGGGTGCTGCCCAAGGTGGCTTTGCCTCTCAGAAGCATGTCTCCAAAGTGGCTGAAAAGCCCCATGAACAACCTCATGAGCCATCATGTCTTCTGTCTACTGACAGGAGCAAGGGGAAGGGTTCTGGCTGTGGAAATGAGGTGATGAGGAAAGATAGGTAACTGGTTATTCTGAGAGCTGGCAACAGAGATGAGGCAAGCCCTCTCACGAGGAAAGCACGTGACATGACTCTTTCCCAGAAGGCATGACCATGGCACCCATTGGTTTGGCTGATGAAGCCCAGGTAGACAGAGGACTACTGACCCAGCCGGGGCAACCTTGGTAAGACTAGTTTGAGGAAGGTCTCATGTCCACAAGAAGATTCTCAGAAAATTCTTTCCAAGAGATAACCTCCATGGTAGAAAGTGGCCAACTCATACAACATAAATAATTATTGATCTTATGCCAATATTTTTTTTTTTAAAGATCAGACCTTACCATGATGTCCAGGCTGGTCTTGAGCTCCTGGGCTCAGGTGATCCTTCTGCTTCAATCTCCCACCGGCCCCAGTACTGGGAGTACAGTTGTACCTCACTGCACCCCACCCAAGTAGTGTTCTGGGTTTCTGTTCTATCATTGTTTTGTATTTGATTAGAAGGGATAGATAAGATACATACACCAATAAATGTAGAAAATATTTCAGTTAATGATGAGCAGAGACAGTGACACATAGATGACAAAACAAGAGAGCTAATGCAACAGTGCAGTCAGCAAAGAAGCAATACACATCAAAGTTCTACATGGCAAGTGGAGGTGCTTCAACTGAAGGGAAAAAGAAGGCAAAGACCCGAGGTGGGAGAGTGTGCAGAGGGCCCAAGGAATGGAAATGGCCAGTGTGACCAGATTCTGGGTGGTTCAGAGTGCACAGCAAATGTGGCTGAGCATGGTGGGTGGCCAGTGCTGGGCATCTTGGCTGCTATTGAATTGTCTCACAACTTAAGAAAGCTGTGTTAATGAAAGTGATAGGACTGGTGAGATAGCTCAGCAGAGTAAGCATCGGCTTAGGCAAGTGCAGGGACTGGGGTTCGATATCTGGTGCCAGATGCCGTGCTGGCCCCACCCTCAGGTGTGCTGAGCTGGGCGACCGAGTCCAGGTGTGGTGGCGCTCATCTGGGAGGATCACTACGAGTCCGAGCTGTGCAGTGCGACCCTGTTCCAACTTAAAATTAAAAAAAAATTAGAAAGTGATGACCCCTCCTAAGGGCAGTCTAGACATAGTGATCAGTGTGAAGGTCATAGTTCTGGCACTGTTGCCTCAAATCAGGACACTGTGTGGGGCCACAGGACCCAGAAGACCCCAAGGGAAGACCCCAAGGGGTTGGCCAAGGCTGTTACTGCAATCATATCCAATTTTGACCTGTCCGTCTGTCTGATCCTGCTTCTTTGATCCCTTTCCAGCTTCTGTTCCTGGAAAAATTTCCTGGTCAACTTCTTGTAGGGAGAGCTTAGTCTTGTATCTGTTTCCTTGGGTTGGGTGCCGCCTGAGACATTGTGGTCCCAAGGCTCTGGCCCTATCTCTTCCTCCCAACCTGAGTAACAAGGCAGGTGGGGGTGAAGGAGGCAGTGAGTTCTATTGAAACTCACTGCTATCAAGCTCACTGGTAGCTTTGGTGCTAGGTGGACCTGCTACTGTAGCCAGGAGAGTGAGTGGGCATCCTTCCCAAAACCGAGCATGAGCCGAGATTGCCCCCACAAGCCCTCTGCTCTGCCTACACATGGAGTCTTTGTATATCTATAAGTGCTATGACTCTCCTTAAGTATTTAAGTATTTGTCATGTGCAGTATCAGGGCAGTCACTGAGAGCCATCATACCCATACCATAGCTCACTATCACCCTGATTTCTTCTCTATATTGCGGTGACTAGAAGCCTAGAAACTACATTTCCTAGAATCCTCTGTCAGCCAGTTCCATTAAGGTTCTGCTAATGAAGGATAAGGCAGGAGAACTGCAAGTTCAAGCCCAGCCTGTGCAACGTACAGAATTAGCCAGACCTTGCCTCAAAATAAAAAGGTTTGGGGGTAAGTTCAGTGTGAAGGCCCTGAGTTCAATCCTCAGTACCACAAGGGGTTCATGCACCAGGAAAAAGCTTTCTTTTTTCCTATTCTGGTCATGACAGTAGGTGATATAGTTGACTAGATGTCTGTGGGGCCCAGTAGTTTCTGGCTGCCTCCTCATACATCAGAGGTAGGGTCCTCAAAGCAGCAGAGACAGCAGTGACAGTGGCCTTGAAGGCCAGTGTGCTTGGGTGTTATGCCATTGTTTTGTTTATATTCCATACCTGCTCTGTGACTTTTAGAACCTTTTCAAAAATTAAATTTCATTACCAGCCAGCACCCAGTTGAGAAAGTAGAAACCCTTCAGGCACAATGGCAACACCACTGTCCTTTCTGTTCCTTTTGCCCCAGCAGTGTGGCAATTATCAGGCATCATTGTGGCCAGGTCCCTGTATTCTATCTCACTCTGACAGGCCTGTTCTCTAAACTGGAGGCTGATTGATAATGGATCCAACTTTCCAGGAGTTTATCAACATGACTGCAGAGAAGATCTGGAAATAGCATAATGGAGGTAAAGCCCCAAGTGGATCATTCACAAAGACTTTTTCCCTTAAAGAGATGTTGCTAATGTTAACTTAAGAAGTCTGTTTCATGAAAGCCAATCACATTTAGACTTTCACTATAACTGGAGCAACAAAGCTCCATGTGCTTGTTCAGATCAGTCTTCAGGCTGTGTGGGGTCATGTATAGAAAAACATTGATGGCTCAGCATTTGCCCGACAAGAGCAAATACAGTCACTACTGTGAGCTGGGATAATCCCTGA